TTGTGCGTAGAACAATTCTTGACTCTAGTAAGTTGTGAACTATATTTGCATTCCTTAAGTTCTAAATCCAACTTTGTTTCTAGGGTTTTAATAGTGGATTCAGCTCTTCATGTTTTTTTTGTCCATTTTGGTTTTTTTCTTTCTCTTAACTCCTATGATGTAAGCTTGAGGTATGTTTTTGTTTCTCAAATTTTATATGCTTCCACTGAGAAGCATTGCCGAGTGGGACATATTAGTTTGCCCCTGACTATACAGGATATCTCAAGACTAGATAATTGGATTTTGATGTAGGTAGTACCACAGGTACTACCTATAAAGTTCCATATATGATTAACTTCTGAAGACTATTGATCAAAGTTCAAAGTCATTAGGGATAATTTTCTGTGTACCAATGTTATGGACATGATGAATCAATACAGAATGAATGGATATTGACCAAACTTGTACAAGTACTACCTACAAAGTTCTAGACCTGATTAACTTTTGAAAATCAAATAAGGTCAAAAGGTCAGTTGTACATAGGAAATCTGCCACAGTCTTGTGGACAGGTACTACATCATCAAATTGGGAGGACTTACTTACAGAATAATATTAGAGGGACCTGGGTGTTCCATTAACACAGTTTACGCTTATTTGTTTCCACTACTGAAATAGTTACAGTAAAACAGAATTTTCTACCACATTATTGAATATTAAAAATCCCCTATATTTTATTTGTTTTGTGGTCTAATATGTAGCTCGTGTCACTTGCATGTTGTTGGTACTGTGAGGGTGATTCAGCAATGTTATGTAATGCTTCTCTAAAGTTTATGATCATCTGTAGTTTAAAATCGATTGTCTCTATATGACATTTCAGTAGGTAAAAATTGTGCTCTTTGTACAAAATGCAGACTATAATTGAACTCTTTGTTTTGCACTTTGTAGAAACAGTTGTCTGGAACATCTGACCTAATTTTGGCTGTTTTATTTAGTATAAATGTAAAAGAACAACTGTAGTAATACATTTTTTTTGTGTGTGATGTTTTTATAGCTTATGTTTGTTATTATTCTAGGATATAATAAAATGTTACATAATCTTATAGGTCCATAAATAGTATAGGTGTTTTATGTATAAAACAGTAAGATATTCCTATGATACTAATTTATAAAAACTGATTTGTTAAGTTAAATACGACATCCTGGCTATTTAATACAGACAGGCTTGATGGTTATGGCTGCCTGCTGCTACGTAGTATTAATGGAATTTTCAAGGATTTTGGTCCTTGAACAATATAGGAAGCAGAAAATTAGGTCATGACAAATTATAGGGGAACTTCAGGTTGTTGATAGTTTATACCTACCTGTACCTTCTGATATAAATAGGAAAATAGGTTTGACTTCAATAGTTGTATTATGAGAACTTTTTGCAGTCAATACAGCATTTATATTTTTATACTTTATTGTTATGTTTCAGATGCCATGCTAGCCTTTAAAAATGATTTTTAAACACACTTTCTAAAGGTGTGTGCTTTAAGCTGTATTACCTACTTTATTACACATTGTATCAAAATAGTTATTTTTTGGTGTAACATTATTTTATATTAACTTAGTTGACAAGCAAACAGTAATGCATGACCTTCCATTGTTTACTGGTTAAGATCAGAACTCCACACACCTGCACAGTAGTATATGGGATACTGAATATCTCTAATGCTATATGTGAAATTCATGCATTGAACATATTGAACCAATAAGATATCTCTTCATTTATTAGTCACCAGCTGCAAAAATGTTGTATGCACTTTTCCAGACAATTCAGTATTGTTTTAAGTCTCATAATGCTCCCATGGCTGAAAGGGCAAGCTTGAGCTTGTTCTGTGGACTTTGATCCCACAGTTCTCTGAGAGTCAAGCACCTTAACCATTAGGCTATGTTAGGCCAAAACTAGAACTGCATTCAGATAATATAGTGTTATGGTGTTAATAGCACTGCTTAACTTCTTCACACGTTAGCCATTGTAATGTGTAGTAATCTTTACAGAGTTTGTAGTGTTGTTATTCTTATTGCTATTGGTTGGAAAGGTTTTGTATTGTTGTTCTTACTACTGTTATCCTTATACAGGGTTTATAATCATTAAAACTGCTGCCCCTTTCACTATAGATTGTTACTGCCTTCAAGTTTTAAATATAAAAAATAGAGGCAAGATTTGAAGTTATGTTGTTCTTTATGTATTGGACAACAGAACTAAAAGTATATTTTAGGGGTACCAGTTATTCACTGATTGCAGTTAATTAATTGTTTAATTGACAACACATTGTTACTAACTATGTGTGGAGAATGAATTATTTAAAATTTCAAGTGGTCAGAGTTCAAATCTGACCAAATCAACTTTTCTGATAGCAATATTTGGCCAAAAGAGTTACTTGATGATAATGAGCTTCTCTAGTATTGAAACAGCCCATGTATTTGCAAGATATTCTTCTGGTCAGTCAGTAGGAAATTTTCTCCCATTCCTCAAACAATGCAGAGTCAAACTTTCTGATATTATGTGGTGATGATTGGCTTACTTGGTATTCAAAGAACACCTGAAGTTGTTCTAGAAAATTTAGGTCATTGCTACTTGTTTGTCATTTTGTGACCTTTCTCTGATTTCTTGTTCAATATTGCTGCAAGAGGCAGTTAGGCTCATTTCCTTCCATGAAAGGTCATACCAGTAAGTTAAGTACCACATCACCATATTCTCAAGCAGAATATCTGTCCATTGGAAGCAATTTACATCCATTTGAATTGTTATCACATCACACTATAACTGAACTGTTACTGAAAAGAAGTTAAATGTTGTTGCACCAAACACATCATTCATTTCAGACTGTCCTGAACTTTGATACACAAAACCTTAACTCATTTATAAAGAGTATGTAGGTTCTCAGGGTGTTGCTGTGGCAATGCCAAATCTGGTTATCTTCACAAAATGTCACTGTTAACAGTGAGGTCAAAGCAAGTCTTCTTAACTTTATACTGGATAAGATAAATTCTTTCTATTTGTTGAATAGTAATCATTCTAGTTTCTGACATAATCTTCATTGAGTCCATGGTTTGTTGACCAACTATTCCTTATAGTCTTGTTTTGTAGAATTCAGTCCTAATGTAGTGTAATTGCCCTTCTACATCTTTGTCTGTAAAAGAAATTAATTGTCTGATAGAGCACCCACAATGGGTCTAAATAAAGCAGTGTCAGGGGCACTTGAGTTTGTACTTGTCCCATTTCTAATAGCTCTGTTAATTGTACTTATATCCATAACTTTATCCACCGCAAATGGATATATGTACTATAACATTGACACATGAAAATAAAATAAATGAAATTCAGACAATCATCAAAACAGCTGCTAAGTGAATTATGAAGCCTGAAGGTAAAATGGGGTTACTGTCTAACTGGAGTAGGACATATATAATGGTGCATTCACTTCCATAGTAGGATATGTAAACCTATTGTTTTGTTAACTATTGGAATTTTATTGTGGTTTAATTTTACAAGCTGTATTGAATGTTAACAATTCATAATTTTTTGTCTTGTGATAATTCATGCAATTCCTGTTACTAAAATTTTTCAAGGTATTACTAAAATGATTTTGACATCTATTTGGATTAAAAGCTTCCTTTTTTGTGAGTTTATCTTGTCAAACATTGCTATAATATCACTTAAAAAATACAACATCACCAGTGATTTCCTGAGTTTATTTGTTCTTAGTTTCTTTGGTGTGTAAACCTTTAGCAACACACAAATTAAAAGTAAATATGGGAGTGATGTGGAGAGAAGTAAGAGCCAATTTAATGACAAGAAACCCACTTTAAAAAATAAAAAGTTTGGAGATGGCTTGACTGGGTAATGAAAGAAAACTTTATTATAATTGTATGATATTTCGACAAGGTTATGTCATTGTTAAGTTAGAGTCAGTGACAAGTAGAGCTGTTTTACCTTAAATGTTTCTATGTAACAGAGATTGCTTCATTAATCTGTGAAAGATTTCTATAAGTTTCAGATGGAGACAAAAATGTATCTTTTGTTGGTTATTTCTGATAGGAGCTGTAGTATATTAATCGAATATTCTCCTGTTTGTAATTTTGCATATTATAACCTAGATTGAAGTGCTTTGCTGGTGATCATTCTTCCTTGGTGAGATGGATGATGGGGATCCTAGAGGGAGTTTTATGTGTAACAATTTTCTGTAGAAGGAATAACTATACTTTCTTTTAGTCTGCTTTGTTTAATGTGAAGAGTGTTAGGAGAAACCTTTGTTGGTATTAATAATACAAATTTTATATTGCCGTTTTTAGAGAAAAATGTATTGTGCGTATTTGGGACCATATATGTTTATACACATAGTGAGTTTGCATTATATGTGATATCTGTGAATATTGTACCTTGTATTTTATATTAGCTTTCTTTTAAACATGAAATTCAGAAGTTGATTGTAACTGGTCTGATGAACGTTTTATCTCTGGTATGTTTTGTTTTACAAACTGCTGCAACCAAGGCAGCATAACTTTTTACTGTGAGACATTACAGTATCAAAATCTTTAGAATATAAGTTGTAATAACAAAATCATTATTGTTCTAATTGGGTTAAGTACTTTATTCATCCTCTTATTTCACTTTTTTGCTGTATACTGATTATTTGTAGACTAATGTTAAAAATGGGGTGCAGATTAAGACTAATAATTAGTAATGTTTTAAATTAAAATCAAATAACTTTGTTACACTTTTGTTGTAGTATACATGTAGTTGAACAGGCACTTTTGTTTCTCAACCCTTTTCAACATGATGTAAGAACACATACATTATGTTTCACTGGACTTTCATGTCAAACTTAAAAGTTTTTCACTTGGGCAAAAGTGAGCTACTTCTGAATTTCTTTGTAAAGTACCCTGTACAATACTGTTTATTCTATTCATCTTATCTTTATTACATGCCTAAAAGACATACTAAAGTATTTTTTGTTTACCTAAATTGTATACAGGTCAGAAAGCATGTGAGAAGACATCATTTGTTTTCTTGAGAAAAGAACTTCCAGTTCGATTAGCCAATATTATGAAAGAGATTCAACTTCTCCCTGAACATCTGCTGCAAATGCCATCTGTGGTTTTAGTGAAAAGTTGGTATGTGAAACCGAATACAATTTTAAAAGTAGTTTTACTTGAAGAGTAATTAATGTAACTTCTATTTTCTTGTTTGTTGAGGCAAATGTCTTGTGTGTACATAAGTAATTCATTTGTATTTCATATATTTATTTATATTTCTTATATAATGACTCATATTTTACATTTAAATAATATGGATTATTATAATTTTTGTACATTTCAAATCATTAAGAGATTTTAGTCAATAATTTTCATACTGTAAGTCTAGTTGTTAGGTTTCAAGTCTGGTAAAGTTTTGGCTGTATTATTTTGCTTTAAACAACTTACTGTTAGATTCATCGATTGGTTTAAGTGCACTTGTTTTGTGGATCTATGATAATCAGTAATTTGATACAAGAAATTGAAGAAAATTCCTTCAGTTTTAGTGTTGTTGAAAGACTTAATCAAAAGGACTGTATGCCTACAGCTAACAACTGAAATGTTTTTTATTTTATTTTTATCTTGATTAGTGCTCAGCCTTGAATAGTAATTGTAGCAGGCTTTCTGTACACTGAAACAAGCTTTACAGTAGGGCTTTGCTTGCCACTTCCTGTCTGGGTTATATATTGAACAAATTATTAATACCTAGAAATTGCATACAGCTTTCAACATGTCTATAGGAATAAAATTATCCTAAAAGAAAAAATTTTAATTACATGCGAAAGCTTTGCCAAACCTGAAAAACCTGAAGTTTCAGCCACAGTAATTAGAATTTTTACAAGCATTGTGTTAACTTGAGGAACATTTTCATTTGAGGTTAACATGTTTTACATTACATTGAGCAAAATACAGTGTATCACTTATTTAATTATAAAGCTACAAAGTTGAAAACTGCTCTGTTTTAAAAAATAGAATTACTTATGATTGAAGTTTTTATAAGAAATGAAGTTTTTACATCTGGAAAAGTTCATGATGTGAAAGATGGCTTGGTAGTAAGACTTTCATACACAAAGTGAAATAGATGCTTGTATAGTTTACATGTACATCCACATCTGTTGTAGATGTACAGTTTGCTGTTTCATGTCAACCGCTATTTCAAGTTAGTTGTAACACTTTAACCAAGATATTTCGTTAAAAAATATCATGTTGTAAAAAGTAACAATGCTGATAAAAGTAATTTTCTCTAGAATAAACCTGAGTCTAGACTTTTGTATTTATTTATAATATTCAAACCTTTGCTACATGAACCATGTTACCAACCAATAAATCTAGATCTCATTCTGCTCCAAGTTAGTATGTCAAAGCCTATATGGAAGAAGGCTTTGATTACATCATTCTTATGTTTCAGACAGATTTACAGTGTCTCAAAGTATCTTATATTTTTAAGACTTGATATCCATGTATCTCCTTATATCTCCATATATCTTACTGGGAGAACTTAACACAGTATTTCACATTTGAGTTAATAAGTCTTGTACAAATTAGTAATATTGTAATTAATCATCAATTTTTAAACCAGTTTATTTCATTTCAATCCCAGTGTTACATTGGTTTTTTTTTCTCCAGTTTTTAACAAATGATACAAGTAAAATCTGGTGTAGCTGGATATATAGAAGTTAAAATATTGAAAGAAATGAAATGTTTTGCACATAAATTAAAATTAATAAAGAACTTTTGTTATTGAGTTAGATAAAATCCAGTTTAAAGGTAAATAATTCAAGATCTGAAAGTTAGACCCTTAGGGACTTCCTGCGTTTGCAGTAATATATGCAAAATAGTATTTGAATAATGTTGTTTTAATTTAGATGTTTGCTAGAGGGCATGTAAAGGACAGTGAGTTTATAAAAGTAGCCTTAGAATACCTAGAATGTTCATAATGTTAGTGATCCAGAGACTTTATGAAACATCTAGAAACAAGTCTACATTATACATTGAGTCGGTTTGCTCAGTAACTAATAACTTAGTGAAATATTCAGATCAGTGTTAGTTATTGCATATATTCAGTTACTTGATCAATTAGCTGTGAAATTGTACAAGTGGATTTATTTGTTTGTTAATTGTAGTACCATTAGTGAGTAAATATCTGAGAGTGAAAACATTGTTTGTGAACTTAGGCCTACAAGTACAACTGTGCTCAAGTGATAGTAGCCTGTAGCAAATGTTAAGATAGAAATTAACTAATTTGTTATCGTTATGGGGGCTGGGCTTTGTATTTTGCCATATAATTCAAGAGAACTTGCCAAATGGTAGAATACAAGTGTCATAAGCTATATATTTAATGTTTTAACTTATATGTTATTTAGAGGAAGCTGCAGGTTGTAATGATGATGTTAAGATAGATCTAGAACACCTAGAAAATTCTGAAACAATCTTACCTCTGTGCAAACAGTAGCTATTTCTTATGAACCTGACATTGAGATTTTGTACATGCTAGTAGCTTTGAACTATCTCCAACCTAAATCACATATTTTGACATGAACTGCACTAATGTGATTGTAAGCTTCATGTAGAAATAGCCATCCACCAATAGGAGAGCAACACATCCTTCATGTGCAGTGAATTCTCATAAGCACTTGTACCTGAAATTAATTTCCTTCTTAAACTAGGCACTGCCATTACCAGACATGTCTAATTTTACTCTTCAAATTTGAAAGTTTTTAAGCAACCATTGTAATTGATTTGATTTAGTGTTCTTTATCAAAGTTGCTCTCTTTCTGACTGTTTCTTTTGGTGCATGCCTATTCTTCATTTTTGATTTTCATGAGATGCATGATTCCCTTTCTCACTTTTGTTTATTTCTGAATAGTAGTATACTACAAGCTAAGTTAGGGTTACTTTTCATGTTGTTTTTCAACTCTGCCAACTCACTTTTCTGTTACTTTGTCCTCCTGAGGTTCTAGCTCTGTTCATGAAGCCAAAATTTCATCTGGAATGAGAGTAGTTAATGTCCTATACTAGGGTTGTTTGAAGAACTTTAAACACCATGCAATGTTATGTCCCAACTCTTCACAGCTTTTAACTTGTCTATAGCTGCTGGAGGTTCTTTGTCTATGGAAGATGTTACTTTCAAAATTTTTTACCATTAATGTATTTTTGTCTTCCTTATCAGGTTGATGTTTTTGTCCATCTCTTTCCAATGATTGGTTTTGCCGTAGCCTCATTTTTAGCTGTTGATGAACATGTCACTCCTCTCTTTTTGCTGATCATGTCAATTTTGTACTATGCTTTTATTTTCTCCTATGTCCTATTTTTCTTCACAATTATTATTACATGCTTTCATGCTGTAGTTTTATTCTTTTCCCCTCACCTGACTAATATCCATTCTGATATCTTCTTGTTTCAGCATTGTTTCTACTCTTCCCTGCATTGCCCTCTTCATTTCCATGATTCTTTTAATATGATTTATGGTTGCTCCCCTTCTGTCTTCTTGGATCCACAATCCCTGGAATCCTATCTTTCTGCTTGGGATTGACTTACTGTCTTCAGTATCCTTTACCAGGTCCCACTTTTCCTGTTTTTGCCTATTCCTTGCTGTTTACTCCTTGTCTCTTAACTGGGATTAAATTTTTCTGGCGTATTTCCTGTCAGTCCATTTCCTTACATAGGCCAAGGTTTCATCATTTGCTCTCTATCTCCTCGCATGGTTTTTGTGTAGTTGAGATCAATTCAACTCCATTCTTTGTTTTTCCCCTCTCTCAGTCCTCCCTACATTACGTGCTCACTCCACTCATTTGTCACAAGGTTTTTGGGGTGTTACTCTTAGCTAGGAGACACGAGTGAAACTGCTTGCTATCAATTTTTTTCACAATTCTCTGCTATTCCATTGTATTTGTTCTCTTGCATCCTCTCATGTTCCTTGAACTATGTATATTTGTCCTCTCTCACATTTCCTCTTACCACATGTCTACCTCCTTTTACCATCTCCCTTGTGGAGTGTTAGCCTTTGTTCATTTCACTGGTGACTACCTTTCTTTTTATATTCATTTGGGTTTGATCCTATGGGGGCACTTCTTTTCTTCTTTGCTAACCTGTGGACTCATTTCATGGCTAACTATTGGGTCATTCAGGTTCTTACCCACTACACTATCTCTTTCTTCAGTTATGTTTTTTCTCCACCTTTCAATCCTTCACCATCCTGAGGACATAATATTGGAGCACTTCGTTTGGAATGCCATAGAGAGCCATTTGTCTCTCTATGGATTACTATTCCTGTCTCTTCATTGTCCCCATAAATACTGAGGACTGACATCCCCTTATCATACTTCTCTGAACCACTTCTGATGATTCCCAAGTTTCAGCTAAAGGATTTCTTCCTCCTAATAGGTTGTTTGTCTCTGGCCTTTGGATAAGACAGTAAATGTTTCAATACACCTTTCTTCACAATACAATAGCCCTGTCGTTGTGACATTTTCTTCTGTTTAACCACCATGATACAGTATACCGGTTTTGGGCTGTACCCTTTGACATGGCTTTTGCTCCTTATGGTTTCAGTCAGATGATGAGGAATTTCACTCACTACATCCAGTCTTGGCCTTTGTTTTCATTCACTTCTGGACACTTGGCTACTTTTTGCTTCTACTTGGTAGGCCTTCTCTAAAGGCACATCTTTTCTCTTCCAAGAGGCTGTTTATCTGGGATTGCTATTCCTATTTACTTGGAAAACATCACCAATATACATGGTGAAAGGTGTATAGTAGGGAACACATACAGAAAAGAATCCAATACAGCCTGAGGATATCCACAGCCCAAGCAGCCTGGGGACATAAAAAGCTGAAGGGACCAGACACTCCATGACTCACAGACAAAATGGAAAAAGATGAGGTGTGAAGTGAAAAAGAAGAGAAAATGTGGATCAAGTATAATAAAACTCAGGAACAAGTGAAACTCCTTGTTGTGTCTTGTTGGTAGCACATTACTGGCAGCTATGTTTTGGTTTCTTCTCCACTGACTGACATCTTAGGCACCTTCTTTTTCTTCCATTATCAGTGTTCCTCTTGCTCCATCCTTCTACATTACTCTTTCATCTGATAGTGTTGCCCTTTTGTACTTTTGTGTAGGTTTCTTGTTTCCTTACTCAGTAGGCAATTTTTCTTATTGTCCTTCTTTTGTACTGCTCAGTTCATCCTTTTACTCTCTCTCTCTGTTCCCTGACACAAATAGCATTATTATTGCCACTGATCCCTCAAGTACTCTCTTTTTCTGAACCATCCTCTTTTGGCCATCATCTGGATTTCTTTACCAGGCTGTTTAACAATTGATTGTTGGTCTACACTTTGGCAGGAAATTGTGCAGCCTTGTCATCCACATTTTGCCTTTTTTGCCATGGTTCCTTGTTTTCTTCCCCTGCCCTACCATATCTTTACTTTATAAAAGTAAATTTTCATAAATTTCTGATAGACCATTATGAGATTTGGGTTTCTGGGTGTTTGTTAAATGATCTTTATAGAAAATACTTTCAGACAAAGCTAATTTATTTAACTTAGTTTTTTGTAAAGCCTTGATTTGAGTAACTTTCACAAAAAGTGAGATTTATTTTTTATATTTTAATCTTCACTATGACAGTTCCATTCTTGATTATATTAAACTTCAGTCAAAAACTGCTTGGAATATACACTGTGGTGTATAATTCAGTTCTACATAGTGATTACATTATCCTCTGACTAGTGATAAACACCAGGGGCAGTTTTATGATTTGTTTTTCCACCACCTTTAAACAAGTGAAACAAGCTGTATATACCAAAGGAAATTTGCTTTTTTTTTTTAAATGAAATGTTTTTTAAAATTGAAATTTTCCACATTAACAATATTTACAGTACACTTACTATTGTTGAGGATTACTCATTTAAAGAAAATGTTCAAAATAATGTCTTCAAGCAGTGCTTAATTTATGCTGGATATTTTTAGATCCAGAGATCTGGAACCTGTTTTAGTTTATGTAAAGGCAAAAAAACTATAACTAAATGCCTGCATAGTTGCATTGCAAATGGAAGTGTGGCTGAAGTAGTCAACAGAAATTTTGTGGTTTTTTTCTCTAGAAATTAAACACTAGTGTCAAGGACTTTGAAATGAAAAATTGAGTAGCTGTGAGAATGATGTTGCATGTAATTTATCAAGCAATAAATGTATGAATCACACCAGCATCAATAACAGTGGCTAGGATTTACTATAATTTAAGTTAAGAAATGTGTAATTATTTCTAAGGGTCGTATTCTTGTATGAGTGTGTAGTGAGGTCATTCTGCATGTTAAATATGGCATTTTTTTAATTAAGTTAAATGTTTGTCAAAATTTAGTTTGACTACATTGTTCATTTTTTTTTATGTTTGAGAATTTAAACAATGTAACCATTATTATTTATATTGGTCTTATGGATGTGGTTGTTTTCATAGACTTTGAACAAGTCTTTGTCTCCTGAATCACAACATTTTATGAAGAAAATTGTTATGAAATAATTGGGATTGCTTTAATGTGGTTTAAGTCATATGCAGAAGGCAAGCTATAGTATTTCATCTTGGAAGGTGTGCAACCTGATTTAAAAGTAGTAATAAACATGTAGTACCATAGAGTCCCTCTGTGGGAGCTCTGGTATACTCGAAGTTCCTTTTTACAGCTAAACTTGCATCTGTGTGGATGATGCTGATGTAATTGTATTTTGTAAACAAATTGTATGCATTATAAAATTAAGGAAATTTTTTGTTAGAATAAATTAAAATTGGGTGTAAGATTTATAAACGTACTTTGAATCAAGTGGGGCAGAATCAGCAAAATCTTTAGGACACAGATCCCTAACCTTCCAGCTCTTTTATTCACTGCATATTACTGGCAGTGGAAGACATGCATCTTACTTCAGATTAAGTAAAACAAGCTTTATTTTATAATTCATTTCAGAAAATGTGTTCTTTGTAAACACTGCTGCTACAAGTATAATATCTTGTAAAACAACAGTTTTTAGCACTTAGCAGTATGAAAATTTTGTGCTAATGCCTTGAATCGATTATGACTACAACATTACCATCACTAGCTGGCTACCATAGAAACAACAACTGTAATGCTAAAGAACAATCTGTGAGTTCTGCTGTATAGTTTTTTAGACAGTGGCTATCTACAAGAAAGAGCCCATGATTTTCATTTGTCAAATTTTAAACACTTTCCTGCATATGTTAATACTGCAATATTTTTCTCTTGGTATCTCTGCCAATCTTGGTTTGTATTCTTAGTGTTGTAAAGAATGTGTCAAAAGAAATGTCCATTAGGCTATGTTGTGTTTTTCATTTAGGTATTAATTCTCTACATACTTGTTAAGACAATAAAAATATTTCAATTAGTAATGGATTTAATGATCCTGTTTCATAAAATTGTACAAGGACTGTGAAAATATAATTTTTTTTCTCCTCTTTTGTTTGTTTTTCAGGAATAATTTTCCAACTATACATTGCAATGCAAAAATTGGATCAGTATTTCATATTATTTTTGAAAACTTACTTGTTATTCATGTGATCGTATTTACCTCTATCCATAAAATTTCATCTGTGATTTAAATTTCAGCAAATCCTTATTCTAATTGTATTCAACCATGAAATATCTCTATAATGTACCATCTAATCTACTTAGTGACTTTTATTGATTTGGCACTAGGCTGAAGGAACTTTTTGTGTTAATAACCAAATAAGAAACTACTTGAATCATTACAGATTGTGGCAGGGTTTTAGCCAAATGTAGAAGTCTGTTGTACACAACAAATTAGATGTGTTACAAATGCATTTATATTCAAAATATGTCTGAGAATTTCCAACATCAATCTGACAAATGGGAGTGCAGGGAGATGTTCATTTGTAAAATAAAAATGCTATCTTACTGTTTGTATGTTGTATTTGCATAACTTTTAGAACCTTCAAAGTATGTAACCACAATTCTTTTCAGTGTCTCCATATATTGTATCTGGTATTAACTCTCCTCCACTACAAACCCTCCTACATCGCTAATTTAGGATAAAATGTGTTATTCATAATTCTTAACATCAAATACGTAATACCATGTTGAATGGCACTCTGTAAAAGTTTGTGTATGCACACTTTGACTCCCACCTGTGAACCTAAGGTTAAGAATAAATGAGCAGTTTAATATGCATATATTTATATAAATTAACTTAGAGTATACAATGAAAACATTAATTTTATTATGAAATAAACTGTAAGACAGAACATGTTTATGCACAAAATGGCACATTAGAAATAAAATGGTAATATGTTAGGTGGAATTTAGAATAGAAGAAATAGAATGTTGGGTATTTTTGAGCATCATGATAAGGGTTTTAGTGTGACAGATATTAAGGGTGATCTTTCATGATTAGGTTTTCTTTAATGAGAAGTTCAAGATCTGTAAATGTAGTTATGATAGTAAAGTTATTGATAGATATAATTTGATATATGATGTCTTTGTGTGACCCAAATGCTGAGTATTCAGACTAGTTCTTAAATGGCTGTACGGTCGATACATGTGAACTGAATGTTATTAATTGGTCTTCAAATAAATAGTTTTGAATATGAAAACTAGGGTTAAAGTTATGTCTAAATTGTTTCTGGAGTAGATTGTTTTTTTTTTCAGTCTAAAGGTATTTTTTAAAAATTAATTTGTAAACTTTGAGAACCAATAAAAGGTTAACAGATAATGAGAGGATATTTGGGGTCAGTAAAAGAAAATAATTATGGATGTAGTTTTTTATCAAAAATGTTAATTTTGAGAGTTTAAAGTACATTTATATTACTGTATAGATAGACAATAATTTTCTTCATTGTTGGTGATATAAAGCTAGTAAACTGCATACTTTTTATCTTAAGGTATGAAAGAAGTTTTGAAGAAATACTGGAATTTGAAAAAGCTAATTCTGAAGATGGCTTGGTTTTAGAAAGGTTTGTGTATTTTTTAGAAGTGATATTTATAAAATTGCCCAAAATATCTAAAATACCTGTTGGTTTTCTGTCACTGTTTTGTGGTTAACAAAATATTGTATTTATTTTACATTAAATTAAGAAGAGAGTTAATATCATTTTTAACTTTCACTCACATAATAATAGATAGTACAGTTTATATATTGTTTTTTGTATGTATTATGATTACTTTTTGCCATTCAACTTTTTTTTTTCCACGAGCAAGACAAGGTAAACTTGTATCTTTTGTCTGAATTCAAGTTGTGAATGAGTGAGAACTTGAAAGAGGTTCCGAGTACTAGGGGTTGAGATTAAAATATGTAATCAGTTACTGCTACTATGTTTTTCTAAAACTTCCAATTACCATACAGTTTCTATATTAAAAAATATATATATTAACAGTTGGCTGTAGAATGGCTTACAAGCATTCTGCAAAATAATGACATTTGTATTGATACAAAAATTCACCTAAAACAAATTGCCAAATTTAGTGTATAATCTTTGTTTTAGTAAATACTGCAGTAACTGGTTGTATTATTTTAATAATGAAGGAGGATACAATGTATGTAACTGTGTATGCTGTTTTGCTCTGCAAATAAGACTGCATTAACTGATCTAAGTAAAAATTTAGAAATTTTCTAAGCCTAAAACTTACATGAAGAAATATGAACTTAATTTGAGCATTAATAATATTTTAATTTAATCTTAAAAGTGGTTGTTTGATTTAACATTTCCTTTTTTAAAAATGTTGAGTAATTTAGTATAAATTATTAAATGTATACTAAGGGAGGCTTGAGTGTATGTTATGTAACTTATTTTACTATTTATAAATTTAAAGTTTATCTACAATATGGAAAAGTAAAATAATTTCTAAATTATTTTTAAGAATTCATCAATAGACTAAAAGCAGAATTTATTAGTTTAAATGACTGATTCCGATTTGTTTCTTTAATAATATTTGCTGGAAATCTTTTTTTTCCCCTCCATATCTGGTTTTTGGGTGATGGTGTGCTGCTGACTGGCTACCTTAAATGTGAGCAGTAATTCAAAATTAGGAACAGAAACAGATAGCACAAGAAGCTTTGCCATGAATAAAAAGTACAAATGAACATCTGGTTTTATTTTACTGTAAATTTTAAGTGTAATTTTTTAAAATTTCGTCAGCTGCAAATATCACCCATTCTTATATGGTTTTGAAATAAAATTTCAAATAGAGAAACTTTTAATGTGTGCACCCTTTTTTAAAGAGAAGCCTTTATATTATACTGTTTTTCTAATAATCAGGGGTAAAGTTAACTTTTTAAGGATTTAGTGAGAATTTACTCCTTGTTGGGAAAAAAAGTCATAGAAAATGATCTTGTTCGCTAGCTGTTTCCATTTATTAAAATATATAAACAAAAATGTTAATTGCTGTTCCAGATGAATTAGATATTTCCTTTATTAAAAGTATAGGAAAAAGAACAAAATCTATACGAAACATTTCAGGTGAAAACCAGTATTCCATCAAGACTGATCTTATCTGATTCTATTTTTCAAACTTGGAATATTCTAATTAAATTCTCTGCTCCATGAATCATGATTACTTTACAGTCACAACTAAACAATTAAAAACCAAACCCCATTTTAGCATGGTACCAGTACATTTAAAAGATTTGTGCAACTTCCTGTTTTACTAAACAATACACTTTATTATTATTATAACAAAGATCTGCAAGTTAATCAATTGCTAAATTGCTTGAAATTTGTGTAATTAAGTTAAAAATGATGTAACAAGTCGAGCCATTATTTCAAACTCGTTTCCAATCATTTTAATTTAGCACAGTTTTAAGGAAATATGTTCACACAATTTTTGCAGCATGTAAAAAGAAGTATCAGTTGAATAAGGGAAATTGGCCAGGTTAGATAAAGCTTGTATATAAAATATTCTGTTTGTTTTTATTATGCATGTGCTTGAAAGTGTACTACACTGTCTGTAGCATTTTTCCAAAAAGTGCATTTCACTTGTTAAAAAAAATGAAAGTCTGAAGTTAAGGATGTATTACAGAAAAAAAAAAGAGTAAAAGAAATAACATAGATGTTATTGCATTTCTCATTATTTCATTTCTAGCTCCAGTACTTACTTGAGTGTATTATTTTTTTCCATAAAGTAATTATATGAAGCTACTTAAATGTATATTCATCTTATTGTGGTTGTGGACAGAATCAGTATATATTACCAAGTTTGTACACAGTCATCCAATGTTACCTTTGATATATATTTTAAAACTTCATACCTTATAATTGTATCCACATACCAATGCACCATAAATGTGAGTTTCCAAGTTGTCTTCATGGGGAAGTACTAAGCTATGAATTGTTGCTCACTAATGAGGAAGCTATTTGAAACACTTGCATTAAAAAAAAAATGCTTATTTAAGGTATCGGTAAAATGCAACTGCATCAACTAACTAGTTGGAAAGTTCTAACAGATGTATGTTGACTACAAACTGTATTATAACTTTACGAGTAAATATTAGTTTTGAATTTGTATGTTTTTAGATTCATTTTATACTCTTCAATGATTTGATTCATTTACTTTAAGTGTTGTATATAAGCTTGTACATGTTTCTTCATACTGATTTAAATAACGAAATGTTAACTATATCTATGGTGTTTAGAAATGTCTTGTATTCACACATTTAAATGAAAAACTGGTATTTAACTTGTTTTATTAACTCGTAGAAATAAGAAAGGAGGGGCTATATATTGACAAGATGAATTAATTTTTCCATCAGTAATCAGATATTTTGGATTTGAAAATTTTAAGCATTAAAGCAGTTATAACTTCTTACTTATGTTAGAAAAAATAATTAAATGTTTTCATTGTACTGTTTAAAAGATCAGAAATCTTGACCTGTGTTTATGTTTGGTGCTAATAGCTTTTGTCAAGCCTTGTTGAAGATCAGAAATCGTCATACAAACGTAGTTCCTACTATGGCCCAAGGTGTTATTGAGCTGAAGGATACTTATGAAGTTGACCCTCAGATAGAACATAGTATCCAGTATTTCCTCGACCGTTTTTACATGAGTAGAATATCAATACGCATGTTGATCAACCAACACAGTATGTTAATATGTTTTGTGATATTTATTAATTTCAGTAAGTTTAATCTTGGTTATTAAGAGTTTCACTGTTTTGATAAAGAGACTCTTATTTCAATTAAGCCAAATGTAATTTCTTAAGATTCTCAATTTACAGTAAGCTGTTTGATACTGATTCACTATAAGCTATTTTGTTAAATTGTAATGTTTTACCCTATGTTCACTCAAACCATTGTGTTTATAGCACAGGTCTATATAGTGTACTTGTAGTATATCTATCTATCTATATAGATACACACACACACACACACACACACACACACACACACATATTATAAGAATAAGAGTGTATACATGTGTGGGAAACTTTTCAAACTATTAAACAAGGCAAAAGTGAAATTAGTAATAGGGAATTACATACAACCTCACCATATATGCAGGGGAATATTTTTATACTGTATTTAACTATGCAAAAATGAAATTAAAAGTAGGGAAGTATGGATGCTGTCACCATACGCATAAGGGGAAGGGTGGTTGTAGATAGCACTATGCATTGTACAGGGAAAGGTTTTTGGGGAATGGATCTGTAATCCCTCAGAGCCCCATCCCAAGCAGCAGTGTTTATATGTGAATTTCTTCATTTGTTTATAGACATTTAGATTACCAGTACTATCACCATGTTGAGGTTTAATAACTTTCTCTGATATTCATGTTGTAAAAGCATCACTAAGTCTGGTGTTTCTTACAAGATGTGTTGATTGATTTGTCATTTTTGATCAGACCATTTGGCTTAAAGTGTTCTATGTATTGCAAGTATTTGGTGGATATCGTTTATTGTGTAATAAGTTTAACTTCCCAGTTATTGTGATGCCCTGCACAGTCAACAGATGTGTTCAGAACTCTAACCTCACACATGAGTAGTCTAGACAGGCCACTTAGTTTTAATTACTTTAAGTACACGGCATTACCTTTACATTTTGTAAACTTTGTGCATTCAAATACAAAATACCACAACCATAAAAATGTTTTGTATTTGAAGCACAAGTTTTCCTCCTAGTATTATTAATAATAATAATGTAAATTATTGTAATGATTTCTAAAATCTTATTAGCCACAAAATTTGAAAATAGTTTTTGTTTGTATATTTAATTTTTAAAACAAGATTTATTACACCCTTAAAGATAAATGTGTTAAATAAGAAAAACAATTATCAGTACTTAATTGAAAGCTTTTGGATATTGTTTTGTGTATTTTTTCCAAAAGATAGATCATGAATAAAGTCTAGATATAATATTGAATATCTCCTTTGTTTTTTTTTGTCATTCCTACAAAATATTAGTAATTTCAAAGTTCAAAAGCCCTGATTAGTATATGCTAAAACCCATGCTTGATATATTTTTTTTTAAGTTTCATTTCACTTACTGTAAAGAAGAGTAATAAGCATATAAGGATGAGAAGGTTTTGTAAAACTTTTTGCTGCATTTAACTTCTCTCTTTGGGGCCAATCTAACAGGACACCCCTTGTTATATAGGCTGTATTGATCCTAACTATGTTATTGTGGCTCTTGTGCATGCTTAATATTTTTTTTAAGTTTCATTTCACTTATTGTAAGGTAGAGTAATGATCCTTTTTATCTTTAATAAAATTTAATTATAAACAAATATGGGGTGTATATTGTTAATACTCAAGAGTTCAAATGATATTACATTTTTTGGGTTAGGCTTGCTCACTAGGTTCATGCTATAGATGCTGTTTCTCTTTTGACATTTTTAAAAGAAACAAGTTTAACATGTAACTTAACAGATAAATTAATGGTGGTAGTTCTTTTTTTAAAGCAAAGAATATTATTTTTTTTGCTTGTTTTTAAACATGGTATATGAGAAGGTTTTGTAAAACTTTTTGCTGCATTTAGCTTCTCTCTTTGGGGCCAATCTAACAGGACACCCCCGTCATATAGGCTGTATTGATCCTAATTGTGATATTGTGGCTCTTGTGCATGGTGAGTATTATTATCTCAACTTATACTTGCAACTGGGTTTCTCGTGATTTTGAATTGTTCACTATTGTTTTTCATTATAATGAGTTTTGAGTAGTACATGCTTAAGTAATAGGATAATTGTTTCATAAAAAGTTACCAGTAAGTAAAATGTAGCCAAACTCTAATAGTTTTTTTTATTGAATAACATTGCTGCACATGATCCCATAAGATAAACTGTTAAAGGGAAATGTTGTGCTCTAATTTACTTTTTCCAATGCTACTTTGTCATTTTGTACAGTAATTTACTAGCAGAGACCCTCAAAACATTTGCAGTCAAATTAATATCTTTATTGCAACAGTACTTCTTTAAGTACAGGATGTCTAGACTAATACAAAACAATTCTAATTGCAGACACAGAAATCTATTATGTCTACATGTCTTATGCCTAATGTTAGTTAAGCCTTTATTAAGTACAGTCTACATTTGATAGAGATAAATTATCACTGTAACTTGTCTACATTTTTTGCTTTAGTATAGTTAGGACTAAGTTTTGCTGCACTTAATACTATCAGTAAATGAACTTATAATGTTATTCTACAACCTAATGTAAGACCTTTTTAAAAAACTTTAAGCTTTTAATATATTGTTGTACTAAATGTCTATTAAAGTATATTTACATCTGTTGAAATGAACTGCAGCACATACACATTTAGATAGTAAGATGTGCATGAATTTTCAGGACAGACAAAACTGAGTATTATTTGTTATGCTACAACTATTAAAGTTGAAATCACAAACAAGATTTTATTCAACCAAAACACAAAACTAAAAAAACAACACAATATAGAAATAAAGAAATAAAAAAATACATAAACACATAAAGTATACAGTTTTTCTTTATCACGACATTCTTCCCCATGCAAATGAGAGATTGTCATTGGATGGGTTTCCTCTGTTGCTTGGATCTTCTGAGGGTAATGACTGAACTTTCTGGAGGATGAACAATTGGATGATTATTAAAAGGAGATTCTGAAGTGTTGGCAGTCTCAGTTTCCTGAGAGGAGTTCTCCATAGATTCAGTAGGAAGTAATTAATTTTCAGATCAAGATTCCTCAACAGATACATGGGGATTCATCGGAGATGAAAATTGTTGTGCAGCCCTCAAGGAACAAGATCTCTAATTGGTATTGTATCTTCCCAACCACCAGGGAACTTAACATAGGTATAATGAGGATTGGCTTCTATTAATTTGACTGAGTCTACCAGTGGTTCATACTTAGAGTGACGCATGTGTTGTTTCAGAAGAACAGGTCCAGGAGTCAAAAGCCATGTAGAGAGAGAGTAAGACCAGATGCAGTTTTATGTGGATAAGAAAAGAGACGCTTGTGTGGTGTTTCATTTGTTGATGTAAATAACAACGACCTGCTTTAAGTGCATCAGTTAGGACAGATTCCCATTGAGTTATTTTTTAAACCTTGGCATTCCAATGCATGAGACACAGTAGTCCAAGTAGTGCCATTATAGTGCTCACACTGCAAGTTTCCTTGAGGATGAAATGGAGTTGTGTAACTCATAACAATACTACAGCACATGAGATAATAAAAGGATCCCTGATGAACTCTTTATTTTCTCAGCAATAACCTGTTTAAAGTTACAATCTTTAGCAAGACATTTAAGAGCCTAAAGTAATTTGTCTATATCCTTTTCAGGCGTTTGATGATATGGTGAACTAGGATTTCGTTTGTGGGCTTCATGTAGGCATCCTTCAAGATGGAAATAGCTTCATTGTAATCAGTACAATTCTCAATCAATTCATAGACACTTGTATCCACTTGCATAAATAGACACTAGTTTGTCAGGTCAACTATCCTCTGGTTGTTAAAAAATAAGAAAACTTCTGGTACCATAATTTCCAATGTTTGATGCTCTGAGGCATACAAAGTTACACATCAAACTTTACTGGTCAAATAACTTTATCCCTTTAAGTGAATAAATTGTTATGCCACAACTGCTAGTCAAAATCGCAAGCAAGGCTTTATTCAATCAAAATGAGACATCTAAAAAAAAAACCGAAACTAGAAAAACTCAGTCATAATACAGAAATCAGAAAATACATTAACACAATAAAATGTATAAAGTTTTTCTTCATCATAACATTTGTTTACATCTATTGAAATGAACTACAGCACATGCACATTTGGATAGTAAGATGTGTGCAGATATTTAGGACAGACAAGAGTATTATTAAAATATATATTTTTCTACTCAATATATTAAACATATAAGCAGATTTTTTTCTTTTAATTAAAGTAGTTTATCTGTTGGGTGTTTATATTTAAAATATCATTAGAAATCGGAGAAGATGATGTAACTATTGAGCCCACGGAGCAAGATCTTAAACATCCTTGAGGAGACTGTGTAAATAATAATAAAAAATTTTAGATATATATATATTTGATATGCAAAAATAATAATGAAGCAAAATGAACTAGTCTAATTGTAATCAATAAGGTACATTTCATGTGAGAAAATATAAAATACAAAAACCACAAGTAAAATGAGTGTAAAGCAGAGCCTTATATAGTGGAATCAATTACAAGATTACAAAAAATGTACAGAATTTAAATAGTATACATGTATCCTTACTTATTTACTTTCTAAGGAAACCTATTATAAGGTCTTGTGAAATTGTTTAAATGTCCTTAACACTAAGTTGGGATCAGAAAACTTATGAATTGACTTATGTTCATTCTTTCTGTAATGATTCTACTTTATATATACATATAAGAGGTAATTACTAAACTTTATCTGTTTAGTATATACTTATTATGATGATTATTTTGCATTGTTAGCTTAGTTCTAGGGATGCATGGGTAGTAAAATTTGGCCAAATACCGGGTTCGGGTACCCAGTCACTAAGCTTCGGCTGGAGCTGGGTGTCAACCAGGACAGGGTTTCCCCCCTGCCCCCCACCAAAAAAAACATACACAAAAATGAGAAACAAAAACAAAATTGATGTTTATTACATTTAACCAAATAATCACTAAAAGAACATTGAAGATTTACTTTCAACTTTCAATGCCTAGCCCGAACTTCTCAAACCTTAACCCTATTGTTGTCAAAATGCCCACCTTCCCCAGAAATTCACTTCTCAAGTCATACCTGTTATTAACCCTTATTGTTCTCTGAATCCCCAACTTTCAGCTCAGAACATGTTTTTTTTGTTTTTTTTAACTAAACCAATTATTGACTGTAACTTTCAGTACCACATTAATTGCCATAAAGATTAGGGCTTAGATGCCTAACTTTGACATTCAGCCGGAGCCAAGTATTACTGGGTAGCCCAATACCTGGCTGGGGCTGAATATCTGGCCGTATACTCGTGCATCCCTACTTAGTCTATTGACTAACCTAAATATGCTAAGCTGTCTAAACCTCATGAGATATTATTGGGACTACATTTGAAAATATTCATGATGGTTAGCTTTCCAAATTGATAAGTCAGTGCATGTCAGTTGTTAACGGTTTTTGTTATATGACTATGTATGCTCCTAAATAGATCAGTAAGTTAAACTTGTGATATTAATTACAGGGTTAATTTTTATTTCTGATCCATATAAGTTGTTTGCTTTGAAACGATAATAATATCAGAAGTAGTAGTAATACACTAAACATTGTATGGTAAGTAATTGTCATAATTGTTTAGACAATTGTAGCAATAACTACTGGTTTAACTAACTAACTAAACTTGTAATAATAACATAAAAAAAACAATGTATTCAAAGGCTAAATATTACTATGAGCTAATATGATGGTCAGATGTTGACAGACTGGATTGCTGTTAGTGAAATCTTCTTTTACATAACTAACAAAGAAGGTACAGAACTGTTAAATAGTACATTCTTAGTTAGAGGCAGAGAGCAAAGATTGTGAAATTCAAGTTCCTGCATGTATCATAAATGGAGAAATAACTGTTTTCAATCTTAATATATATAGATTTATATTATGTGGAGGAAGACTTTTTTTTTCTTCAAGTTTTATAACGTTTTCTGCAAAAAAAAAATATATTTTTTGAGACATATTGCAAAAATACCGATTTACCAGCTTATGCTTGAAATTGGTTCAATTAATTAATAAAGATTAACTAATAATAAAGATACTGTGAGCAAGGGGATATTTGAATAATCTCAGATTAGGTAAATTACAGATAAGCATGATCATTAACAGGATTTTCTTCACATTGTGTACATGAGGATATTCAATTTGTAAATTATTTTTACACCTCTTTTTATCTTGGGTTTAGAATTTTAAACTTTTCAGTCAGTTGGCCATTTGCCTGTAGTTTCTATAAATCCTAAGTTGTCCAAAAATGTAAATTAAATGTGTATTTGTATCTCTTTCATTTTAAGGACAGGCAAAACTGAGTATTATTATAACAGATTAGTCTATTTCACTCCATATTGTGCCATACATAATATGAATGATGTGTACAGCAATTAATTTTACTTAAAATGTAACTGAACTTTCAGTCTTGTGAAATTTGTTGAAGACTAAAAGAATTTTAAGGCTAAGGTCAAAGCTCACTTAAGTGCTCGTGAAACCTTGTTCTTTATATAATATAAACATTATTTCTGTGGACTCAATTTTTTAAGTTCTTTGACATTTTTCTTAATAAAAACAAATATTTTGTTTCAAATTGAAAGTAAGTAATTAATTTTACCAAAAAGTTTTTCTTTAATTTTGTTTTGAATAATTGAATTATAAATTAGTATAATTTGTATAGAATACATCACAATGTTCAGTTGTGGCTATTCATTATGCCGGTTGTTGATGGTTTTAGATATTCATAGATAATGCTCTATTCTCTTAGATGCTTTTGAAAATGCAAAGTTTCTCTGTGATCAGTATTATTTGGGTTCACCAGATGTGATCATACAAGAACATAATGGTAAGATTGAGTGTGATTAAATTTTTTTATATTGACAAACAGTATCAACTGGTAACCAAAGAGAATATTAATTAATATTGTACGCTTTAGTTTCTTAATTAAGAGTTTTTTTTGCCCTTGTTTTATGTGCTGACTGTCCTAAACTCAAAGTTAAAATGCTTTAACATTGTATTACTAAAATATTTTTTATATTTACTCTGGAAATAAGTGGTGAGAAGTCTTAACTCTCCAAACATGAGTGAAAATTATGACTCTTTACATACTAAAACTCTGGATTTTACAAATTGTATCTTTATGAAATTTGGCATGCTATTAGTAAACATTATAAGTTTGTTGTACACAAAAAATCTAAATTTTTAATAAAGTCTTTATATAGTAGAAATTCATCTTTCAATTTCTGAAACCTTGACTGAATCAATTTGAGTGCAATGTGATTTTTATGCTAAAAATATAAATACTTCTTTTTATCATATTTCATTTGCTCATAAATGAATATCAAAAGTTTTGTTTTATATGTTATTTTTTATATTTTTAGCACTACCTGTAGCTAAATCACTAAAGTACAGTAATATGAAGTTTTTGAAATTATAAAATGAAATGAACAGTACCCTTTTTTTTTCTTTAATGAATTATTTGTTGCTGTACCTTCAACTTCATTATCTTCAGAATTTCAACTGTTTGCTGTTTCAAAATGTATTTTATTTTATAGATTTTCTGCTTGCTTGTATGATGTTAAAAAAAATTTTCATGCATAAAGAGCAACATATTGTATCAGTATATTTGCATACAATTACATATGCATGCATTCAGCTTTGGACTTGTACACTCATAGTAACTTAGATTTAATTTTTGTTTTCACACACAACTAATCAAATATTTACTATTCTGTAACATCTTTTATCACCAATTTCAAAAGGAACATTGAAAGCTTGAAGTTGAAAATAAGTTCTTTCTATTGGTTGTAAACATACATGTCAAATAAGAGCATGTAGTTTTTAAAATTGCCTTGAAAGTTAAGGCTATATGGATGTGGCTTCTATTGCAGGGTGGGAAAATTTATTGATTTCTCACTACAAGGAAAAATTATGATGTTGAGACTGCACATTGGACCTTAGGATTGTTTACATATTGTGTCTAAGATAAGTCAGACAGTGTATTTGCTATAATATTGAAATTATACAAGCTAAAACAGGAGAATTTATAATGGAGATGCATCACATGACACAAAAATTAAGGTTGAGAATTTTTTAAATGTTTTCTTTTGAAATTAAGAAATTAAAACTTGGATAATACAGTAATTTGAATTATCAACTGCACTCAGATGGTAATTTTATTGACATAAAGTTGATATTAAAGTTGCTTAACTATTCTGAATGTATCTTTGTGAAACTGTACAAGAATTGTGACATGAACAGAAGAGCTAGGCTTGTATTTAATGAGATAATGTGATTTTCAGATGCCTGACTTCACATACAGCATATTAAAATAAGCTTAGTTTCAAACAAGTTTTACCCTATTTATTTCATATAAAATACTGATATGTGCTTTTTTGTTAATAAAAAAAATGTGAGATTATAAGGTAGCATCGAACAATCTTTTTTCATTCTTATCTTCGTTTAATGTAAATTTATTAAGAGATATTTCTGTTAAGGTAAATAAAATAATAACCTATATCTCCAGAAAGTATCTTTATTAGCTCAATATTTTGCTATTACAACTTCATCAGGGGCTATTGATATCATTCATGTCCACTAATCCCCCTGATAGAGTTGTAACAGCAAAATATTGAGCTAATAAAGATATATCTGGAGATATAGAAATCTCTGTCATTCAGTTTGTTAGGTAGCCTAAGGTTAACAAAATGTGTGATTATGAGGATTGACCAATCTCAAGTAATCTTAAGAATAGCTGTTTTGATCATCGCATATTAAACTGCATGTTAATATCAGTGAAATGCTTGTTAATTTACAGAGAATAAAATATCTAGCATTGATGAATAACAAAATTATTAAATGGGTTTGTACACCAAGAATTTTCTGCAGTTCTTTGTAACATGAAATGACTTTAGAAAAAAAAAAACAACAACTTAGCTTCAAAACATTTGTCATCTTTATAACTTTAGTACTTAATTTAATATAATATGCACAGGGTCAGTCCATTGGATCAGTTTTGTATTGAAGAAGGAACTTGACTATAATTCCGGTGCTTTGACCCAGTTTGGTTTGTTTCACTGCTTCAGATAAAATGAGCTAAGATACTCCCAAAACTTCTACTGTAGCCCATTCTAAAAATAAGATATTCCAAAAACCTAAGAAAAATTCTATTTGGTTATTAAGTTCTGTAAATATAATTTTAAAACCTTCAAGTAATACAGTAGAACATTTTACATGGCTTGTAAGTTTTAACAGGTGGCAGTACTCACAAGCATCACATTTAAATGACAGCGACACATCAGCTTGAGTACATTCTTCCTTGATTCACTTATGTAAAAGAGAAATATGTATTATACAAATATAAATGTGTATATATTTTTTTCGTTAAGTATGAATCAAAATATTTCCAAACTCATCCAGAAATTTAGAGACATCTGTTTTATGTGCATATAGACTTGGAAGTATTTATAAACTTGAGCATGGTTAATATACTGTATTTCTTTCAGCACTTGACCTTGGAGCTCCTATTTCAGTGGTGTATGTTCCTTCTCATCTATACCACATGCTGTTTGAACTTTTAAAGGTTAGTAGTGCAGAGTGATAGGATTTAAGCAAACCTTATGTTGATTCTGTATCCTGTTATGTGTATATATATATATGAAATACAAAAAATGTGTTAGAGGTTTGAGTGTGTGTGTGTGTGTGTATATATGTTTTAAATTAGGAACTTAGAATAATATTTTATATTTATTTTGTACTGTTAGAAAATAGAAGTAAGAGATGTATGTTTTTATTTAATCAGGAACAGTTACATGAATATATATATATATATATATTTTTTTTTTATCCTTCTACCTCTGTATTTGATTTTCTTTATTTTTGCTTACACTATTTAAAATGCTTCACCTGAAAAATGTTGATGAGTGACATGTACTATTTATTTTGTTGATGAGTTCTTGAAGAAATTCTACTTTCAAGATGTGGGATTGTTTTTGAGTATCAAAAATTCTGTTGGATTGGATAAGTGTCACCCACTGTCTTTTTCTGTTAATTATCTAGTTATGATCAATATGAAATTGCTATCTCTTTCAGCATTTAACAGTTCTCACGAAGAAGTGATTAGTACTTTCAAGCAATACTGCCTTTTTATTTGATATTTTTTTTAAATTTTCTTACATTTTCTTGTGATTGTTGATCTATATCTTGGCTTTTATGGTTAACCTTAGGACTCAAATTAATAATTTAAAGTCATACTGTTTTGCAGCATATTTTCAACTTTTCTTTTGATAATATATGATGCTGATAAATAGTTGGACACCTAAAAACAACCATATTGGAGAAGTAATGCTGTCTGTATTCTGAATTTATGAAACATATCTTCATGAACTGTGGCAAACTTTTAGTAAAATGTACAAGTCTATTGTACTCAAAACATTAGGTGTGTTACAGAAGTGTTTGTACTAAAGATATGTCTGTGAGTTAATAACAAGTTGGAGTGTGAGGTGATGTTTGTATGAACAATAAATATACTTTTGTTCATCATTCAGTTTGAAAATTGCAGTTGCTTAACTTCTGCAACCTACCAAATGCATATTTAAAGTTTTTTCCAGGATGCCTGAAAAATATACATTATATATTTACTCTAACACAAAGTGTTGTAAAATCAGTAATGTAGGATAACGTGATATTTTTAACTCAGACATCAAATGCGTAATACCATGTTGAATAACACTGTACAAGGTTGGGGCATACACATTTGACCTCCACTTATGCACTTAGGGTTAAACTTCATCATCATCCCATTGAAGACAAAAATAATTTCATGGGTAGTTTGAGTTTTATATTTCTAGTATTAGTGTGTGTATATATGTATGTTTTAAAATAATCACATTATAAAATCTTTCAATTCAAGTTATGTAAGCAAATTCTTCGAGATAAAAACTTATTTTTTATTTCAGTAGATATTGACACTTGTTTGTTGGATGAAGTTTTCATTTTTTGCCCATCTCGGGCACAATGAATTGATCATAATTTGTGATGCAGTGACATAGCTAGTTGATTGTTCAGCTTATGTTGTAGGTTACGAATTAGGAGTGCTTCCTTTTTTCTTAGCATCCATTCATCTTTTGCCGAGTCTATTATTCTGAAATGTTCACTGTTTGGTTTTTTTGATACAGTCTTTGCTTAGGTGGTTGTAAAATCCACAGTTATTGAAAGGGCTGTTATGCGCATGCTCTTTGATTCTGGTAGCTAAGGTTCAAGTTGTTGACCCAATGCAGCAATGACACAAATATTTGTATCCTATCAGCATTTTTTTTTCGAAGGAGGTATTTTGTCTTTAAACAGGAAAAACTATGTATCTGTTTGTTTGGTTTGAAGATTAATCTTAGCCTGATTTATTTTAGGCAGACCATATATATATAATGACACTGTGATCCAACAGGTCTAATATGGTGGTATACTTGATCAGAAATGGCATTCTCTTTATTTTTAATAGGAGTCTTTGAAGTTTATTTTCTCTCTGTCGGGTGGGATCTTTATCTAAAACTTTAAACTTGCTGGGGTCATTTAAGATGGCATGGATTTTATCAAGATAGTCTTGTTTGTTGAGAATGACAACACAATTTCCTTTGTCCAGATTTGAGAGCACTACATTATTTAAACGTTTTAGATTATTCAAGGCAGCAGTTTCATTGCTGGACAGGTTACTATTATGTTTTTTAAATTGATAGGTATGGAATCCAAATAAAGCTATTCCTGATATTTCTGTGACAAAGTTATCAAAGGTGTACCCATTTTAGTCCAAATGGGTAACGGTTTAACATTAATTAGTAATTTTTTCAAAATTTACAAAGAAATCAGTATATCTGATTTTCTCAGGAATGATAGTGATGTTTAAAACCATGTGACAAAACACGTTTCTCAGGGTCGGATAAAATGTGATCAGAGAGGTTGTGTATGACTTCAGATGGGTTCTCAGTAAACATGGTTATGGGGTTCTCATCTCTCTTTAGCTTGTGCAGTTTATTTAATTGGATTAGTTTACACTGTAATAATTTTTGCCTATTTTGAGTCTCAATGGCTTGTTTGAAATATACATAATCCAAGCAACTAATGTGTTATTTTAAAATTAAGAGGCTGGAAACAAATGACCCAAGTAAGTTATTTTTTAACTTGTTTTTTTCCAGTAATTTCTTGTTTCAACATTTTTTTTCCTGCTGTCATGGTATTGTTTACTAAACCTTAGGCTGATGTCGGACAGTTTGAAATGCGAGAACTTAGGACATAATTCAAAAGTTTTGCATTATTTTAGAAACTCAGTGTGTAATAAGTTCTTTTGAAATTTTATGTATGCTTTTTCAGCATTCCTATATAATTTTAATGTGTGGCTACCATAATGATTTACTAGGATAGTAGTGGCAGGTAGGTGTTTTGAAGATTTGAATTTTAAATGAACATAAAAACAAAAGTGAGAATGCGTATCATTATAGCACTTAAGGACTAGGTTACTACATATATAAGCAAAATATATGGAGCTTCACTTTAATGCAAGATTCCAACATGTCTCATGCAAATCATTATGCATTACCTACTCATCAATAGGAGCATGATATGCTCACGTAATGTATGCGACTCCCTCTATCACTTCTCGTATCGCATCACTTGTGTTCGAAATTGCTCTTTTGTTTGTTTAATTCTCACGTTTGACTTTGTTTCCTCACGAAGTGGGTGTTTTTTAAATCAATATGCTTTTATTCAGCCTGTTTCTTCTATTAGTATCTTTCAGTTAATTCTTGTTGCCTTATTTTCTGCACTCAAATTTGGTGACCCTTTCTGTGCAATGAATTCCGAAGTTAACTTTACCAATTCAGGGGTTACACCAGCGACCAGTGTTTTTCTCAGGCCTCAGGAAGGGGCGACCTGACAGTGGATTTATCTGTTTTTTATATATATATTGGGAGATCGAATGTTACATTGGAAAACCTTTGTCCCCAGACATTGCCCAGGCTCCTCCAGAACAGGCCAATCCTGTGCAGGCTGACAAGGAATTTGATTGTCTTTTTCCACGTTCAGATTTCGTCCATTCCTTCACATTCCCAACCAGATGAGTCAACTAGGCCTACTGCAGTCTATAGATTTGTGCCTCAGGATTGTGATGTTTTATCCTTTTATCCTATTTCTTATGCACCTTATCCTTATTGCATGAACAATTTTCCCAACTCTTTTAGTTTTTCCTCCCTCACCTGATCGCTTTGCCCCGCAATTAAATGAGGGCATTAGTATACTATGCTCCATGTGGACTCCAGATCAGTTCCCATTTTTCTACCGTCGTGCTCACTATCCACTTTTAGACCAGAAGTTGTTAGGTTCCTTATTGCCTATTTGGGAGGAGCCTCTCGATTCATCTGTCAGTCTCACCCATGCCCAATATTCTCATGCCTTACCCTATAAATCTATTATGGTATCTTTCTTCC